CGTAGGGTCCGACCCGCATCCGAAACAGCGCCAGCTGAGGCTTCTCGGGCCATGTGTCTTCTTCCCTAAACAGCGTGTGCTCGAGAGTAAGCACCTGGGAGCCTCCCTCGCCCAGCCTGTTGCGAAGGCTACCCCTCCTTCGCTGAGGGCAATGGCGGGACAGCAACCTCACCTTACGGCCAGGTGGTCCGCCCCGACCTGTTCCTTGCTTACCATCGGCTCTTGTCCAGGGAATGTCAGCTATGTGGGGGCAGGCCCAGCTGTGTCCACACCTGAACCTGGAGCGCCCGTGGCTGCGGCTGGGAATAGCAGTGTAGGGGCGGATGACCTTTCTGTTTGCACCCCTCCCTGCCCCCTTTGCCCCCGCTGGCCTGCCTGGCAGGTTCTTCGCGGATGACCCACCCACATCCCAGGCCTAACCTTCCAGACCTGATTCCAGAGGAACCCGCCCTCCAGGAGTGCAGGCCTTCACTCGTGCCTGCGTGAGCCACCTGCCTCCAGGTCACGGCTGCCGGAAGCCCACACTCACACCGCCCGTGGCGGGGAGCTGCGTGGGTGGCGGAATCTGGATTCTCAGGCTCCTCGAAGAGGACACATGCCTCCCTCCTCCGAACAGAAGGCCAGTCCGGACGTGTCCACGGGAAACAGTGTAGGGGGCTGTCTGAAGGGGGGCTCACTGTGGCCTGCGCTCCCTGACAGAGGGAAGTCCTTGGGGTTGCCCCTCTCCTCTCTCTGCCTCCAGTGGGGGAGAGGGGGGCGGGGGCAGCACAGGGGCTCACATACACCCCAAGGTGTGGCAACAAGTACCCGGGACCCAGGTTGCTGGCCCCTCCCATCGAGGACCCTGTGCTCCCGAATCTGTCTCTGCTGCTCAGACCCACCGAGCCGGTGAATGCAGAAAAAGCTGGTTTTCCTGCTTTTGTGTGCGCACAAGTGTGTGTGTGTGTGTGTATGTGTGTGTGTGTGTGTTTGTGTGTGTGGTGTGAGATGAGCATGGCCTGAGGACTATCTGGAGTCCGTGTCTGTGAGAGAGAGTGAGGGAGGGGGGAAAGAGGCTACCGGACGTGTGGGGGTCCTGATGGTCCCCTGTTTGTGCACGTGTCTGGCGTGAGTGGGTAGCTTAGTGGTGTCTGGGGCGTCCTATGTGAGGCTGCCGGGGTTAATGGCATGTGTGATGTGAGACGGGCCTCTGGCTTTCGTGTCAGTGTGGGTGAAACGGTTACCTGATTCTGTCCGAATGGGAGGGACCATGCACCAATTCTTCGGTGCACATGCAGGAACCCTGTCCGCTGTGGGTGTGCGTCTGGTGTGAGACGAGTGTGTTCCATCAGAAGCTGTGACGGGCGTGAGATTTCCCTCCATTGCAAGCGGGGAGGTCGCTGACCACAGTCCCCAGAACACACCAGGCCGGGCCAGTGGCTGTTCTCACAGGGGCAGCCACGCCTGTCCCTCCGGCTCCGGCCCCAGGGGTATGCGGGAAGCTGTGGCCCTGCACTGGGGGGCGTTTCAGAAGAAGAACCCTGACATTAGGAAACCCACCCATCCGCCTTCTACAGCGAGAAACCTCCTCTTTACTCTGGGTCGTGAGCACGTGTCCTCAGGAAGGGGCAGGAGGCGTCTTTTCCTATGTACCCCGGACCCGACCGTCTGGAGGCAAACACGCTACACTTAGCTGCAAATGACTGCTCTGAGGACCGGGACCTGCAGACACAGGGACAGGAGGTATCCATGGACACCTGCTTCCCAATCGGATCCGTGTTTTTATTTTGTTTTATTTTGCTAACCCTCTCCCAAGGATACTTTTCCATTTATCTTTTAGACAGAGTGGAAGAGAGAGGAAAAGACAGAGAGAAACTCAATGTGAGAGAAACACATCGATTGGCTGCCTCCTGCATACACCCCAACCAGGGCCCGGGCGGGGAGGAGCCTGCAACCGAGGTACAGGCCCTTGACCGGAACCGAACCTGGAGCCCTTTGGTCTTCAGGCCGACGCTCTGTCCACTGAACCACACTGGCTAGGGCTGGATCTGTTTTTTAAGAATATTTTGAGCCCAGCCGGTGTGGCTCAGTGGCTGAGCAGCAGCCCATGAACCAGAAGCATGGTTCAATTCCCTGTCAGGGCACATGCCCGGGTTTTGGGCTCAATCCCCAATAGGGGGCTCTCAGAAGCAACTAATCAATGATTCTTTCGCATCATTGATGTTTCTCTCTCCTCCTCTCCCTTCCTCTCTCTGGAATCAATAAAAACATATTAAAAAATAAAATAATAGCTTTATTGAGATCGAATTCTCATGTCATACAATTCACCCATTTAATGTGTATGGGTCAATAGCTGTTAGTATATTTGCAAATATGTGCAACCATAACTATGACCAATTCTAAAACATCTCATCGCCCCCAAGAAACCTTGTGCCCATTAGCAGCCATGCCCCATTTCCCCCAGCTTTCCAGCATCACCCAACTCAGCACCCCCAGTCGCTAATCTGCTCACTCGGATCTGTCTTTTCGGATCTTAGATTCTGAACATTTTATATAAGTAGAACCATAATATGTGGTCTTTGGTGCCTGTTTTCCGCCCCCCTGAGTATAGTGTTTTCAAGGTCCATCCATGTTGTAGCACGTATTACTACTTCCTTTCTCCTTTTTTTGCCAGATAATATTTTATTTTATGGACTTAGCACATTTTACTTATCTATTCATCACTTGATTGGCAATTGACTTGTTTCCAGCTTGAGGCTACTATGTGTTTTGCTACTATGAACATTGTCTTGGTTTTAGGGTGGACATGTTTTCTTTTCTTTAAAAAAATTTTTTTTTATTGATTTCAGAGAGGGAGGGAGAGATAGAAACATCGATGAAAGAGAATCATTGATCAGCTGCCCCCCTGCGCTCCCCCTACTGGGCACCCGGGCATGTGCCCTTGACCAGAATTGAACCCGAACCCCTCAGTCTGCAGGTGGACACTCTATCCACTGAGCCACACCAGCCGAGGCTGGACGTAAGTTGTCGTTTCTCTTGGCTCTGTGCCTAGGAGTGGGACTGCAGGGTTGTACACTAACTCTCTGAGGCACTAACCGACTGTTTTCCATAGATGACCCGACCACATCTCCCAGCGGTGCCTGAGGTTCCAGTCTCTCCACCTCCCTGGCAACACTTGTCTGCCTGTCTTCTTGGTTACAGCTGCCCCAGTGGGTGTAAAGTGGTATTTCACTGTGGCTTTGATTTGTGTCCCCCTGATGACTGTGTGGAGCATTTTTTCATGTGCTTCGTGGCCACTTACATATTTTCTGTAGAGAAATATCTATTCAGTTGACTTGTTCATTTCTAAATTGTCTTTTTATTGTTGGGTAACAGCTTATACATTATTTATTTTCTTACATATGCTTTATGTGTTCTAGGTACCGATGCCTTGTCAGATAGATGATTTGCAAAATTTTCCTCCCACTCTTTGGGTTGTCTTTCTATTGGCAAGAATGCCCAGGGCATGCAGTGCCTAAGAATTCTATTTTTTAAAATATATTTTTATTGATTTCAGAGCAGAAGGGAGGAGATACAGAAACATCAATGATGACAATCATTGATCGGCTGCCTCCTGCACATTCCCTAATGGGGATGGAGCCGGCAACCCCGGCATGTGCCCTTGACCGGGAATTGAACCGTGACCTCCTGGTTCATAGGTCAATGCTCACCCACTGAGCCACAACAGCCGGGGTCTTTTCACTTTCTTGATGGTGTCCTTTGAGATATAAATTTTTTGTTTTGATGATATTCTTTTTTAAATGTATTTTTATTAATTTCATAGAGGAAGAGAGAGGGAGAAAGAGATAGAAACATCAATGATGAGAGAGAATCTTTGATTGGCTGCCTCCTGCATGCCCCACACTGGGGACTAAGCCTGCACCTCAGGTGTGTGCCCTGGCCAGGAATTGAACCGTGACCTCCTGGTTATAGGTCAATGCTCAACCACGGAGCCACGCCCGCTGGGCTATTTTGATGATATTCTATCCAGTTTTTCTTTTGTTGCTTGTACCTTTGATGTCATGTCTTAGAAACCATTGCCTAATCCAAGGTCAAATAGATTTATGCTTATGTTTTCTTCCAAGAGTTTAACAGCTTGAGCTCTTCCATTTAGGCCTTTGTGACCCACTGGAGTTAACTTTGTATATGGGATATGCCAAGAGTCCAATTTCATTCTTTCACATGTGAATATTCATTTTTCCCAGCAACACTTGAAAAGACTTCTTTCTCCATGGAATTGTCTTAACACCCTTCTTGAAAACCAGTTGATCTAAATGTCAGGGTCTATATCTGGTCTCTCAATTCTAATCCATTCACCCTCATGTCTCTTCTTAGGCCAGCACCACACTGTATTGATTACTGTAGCTTTGTGGTAATTTCTAAAGTCAGGAAATGGGAGTCCTGCAACTTGGTTCTTCTTTATCAAGATTGTCTTGGCTATTCTGGGTCCCTTGAATTTGCATATGAAGTTAGGCTCAGCGTGGCCATTTCTGCAGAGAAACCAACTGGGTTTTCATATGGATTGTGTTGAATTTGTAGATCAAATTGGGGAAAATGAATATCTTAATATTGTCTGCAATCAGGGTGGCAGATATCTTTCTATTTATTCAGGCCTTCTTTAATTTCATTCAACAACGTTTGGTAGTTTTCAGAATCTAAGTATTGCACTCTTGTTAGATGTATTTGCAGGGCTGGCTGGCTCCCTCTGTGTTCCTTCCGTTCCCATCCACCTCGGCTTCCCCACCCAGCTGCTTCCCTCTGTTATTGTCCCTGCCCCAGTGTGGACCCCATGGGGAAGTAGAAGTCACGATCACTGTTTAAAGCTC